GGGTTTCAGGGCTGGGGGTCAGGCTGCAGGAGGGGTGCAGGGTGTTCGGCTGCAGGAGAGGTTCAGGGGGCGGGCTCTGGCCCGACGTGCACCGGGGGCAGGGCAGGCTCCCTGCCTGCCTGCCCTGCCGCCGTGCTGCTCCGGGAAGCGGCCAGAATCTGGGGAAGGAGGGGCGCAGGGGTGTGTGTGGCTGTTGCTTCAGACACCGCCCCCAGCAGCTCCCATTGGCTGCGGTTCCCCATTTCTGGCCAATGGGAGCTGCTGGGGGCGGTGCCTGAAGCAACAGCCACACACACCCCTGCGGCCCTCCTTCCCCAGGTTCCGTCCACTTCCCGGAGCGGCGTGGGGGCAGGGCAGGCAGGCAGGGAGCCTGCCCTGCCCCCGATGTGCATTGGGCTGGAGCTGCTCTAGGTAAACGCTGGGGGAGGGTGTGAGCGGCCGTGAGGAGCTCGCGGGCTGCAAAAAATAACCCTGCGGGCTGCGTGTTTGAGATCCCTGGGTTAGACCTTGTGAGCCACTCAGATACTATGGTGATGGGGCCACATAAGTACCACAGGTAAAGTGGGAACTTCTCTGTACCACTGCTATCCCTTCCCTGGGTTTTATCCTCTTCTTTTCACCTATGCCCCTCACATCTCCCTCTTTTCTGAATGTAAACTTGGCTCAGAGGGCTTGGTTATATTTCTTCTGAGTCCCCTGCAGACTCAGGGGCTGGAGGGGTTTCTTCAACACTCATAGAATCATAGAAGATTAGGGTTGGAAGAGACCTCAGGAGGTCATCTAGTCCAACCCTCTGCTCAAAGCAGGACCAAACCCAAGTAAATCACCCAGCCAGGACTTTGTCACGCTGGGCCTTAAAAACTTTTAAGGATGGAGATTCCATCACCTCCCTAGGTAACCCATTCCAGTGCTTCACCACCCTCCTAGTGAAACAGCGTTTCCTAATATCCAACCTAGACCTCCCCCACTGCGACTTGAGACCATTGCTCCTTGTTCTGTCATCTGCCACCACTGAGAACAGCCGAGCTCCATCCTCTTTGGAACCCCCCTTCAGGTAGTTGAAGGCTGCTATCAAATCCCACCCCACTCTTCTCTTCTGCAGACTAAATAAGCCCAGTTACTTCAGCCTTTCCTCATAAATCATGTGCCCCAGCCCCCTAATAATTTTTGTTGCCCTCCGCTGGACTCTTTCCAATTTGTCCACATCCTTTCTGTAGTGGGGGGCCCAAAACTGGACTCAATACTCCAGATGTGGCTTCACCAGTGCCGAATAGAGGAGAATAATCACTTCCCTCGATCTGCTGGCAGTGCTCCTACTAATGCAGCCCAATATGCTGTTAGCCTTCTTGGCAACAAGGGCACACTGTTAACTCATATCCAGCTTCTCGTCCACTGTAATCCCCAGGTCCTTTTCTGCAGAACTGCCGCTTACCCAGTCAGTCCCCAGCTTGTAGCAGTGCATGGGATTCTTCCATCCTAAGTGCAGGACTCTGCACTTGTCCTTGTTGAACCTCATCAGATTTCTTTTGGCCCAATCCTCCAATTTGTCTCGGTCACTCTGGACCCTATCCCTACCCTCCAGCGTATCTGCCTCTCCCCCCAGCTTAGTGTCATCTGCGAACTTGCTGAGGGTGCAATCCATCCCATCATCCAGATCATTAATGAAGACGTTGAACAAAACCGGCCCCAGGACCAACCCCTGGGGCACTCCGCTTGATATTGGCTGCCAACTAGACATCGAGCCGTTGATCACTACCTGTTGAGCCCGATGATCTAGCCAGCTTTCTATCCACCTTATAGGCCATTTATCCAGCCCATACTTGTTTAACTTGCTGGCAAGAATACTGTGGGAAAGTATCAAAAGCTTTGCTAAAGTCAATATATATCAAGTCCACTGCTTTCCCCATATCCACAGAGCCAGTTATCTCATCATATCACCCTCTGCAGTGGGATTCCTGTTTTACAAGTTCATCTAAAGACTTCCAGATCCTTAATTTAATTACCAGCCTTTTCTTATCTTAGTCACCTTGCCTCTGTTTGTAAACAAAACACTGACTCCCTGCCCCAGGGGCACAAGCTGGGAGAAGCACCTCCCTGCAGAACTCCCATTCCATGCTAATATGGTGCAGTTAAGAGCTCTACCTGGGAATGGGATCCCACCTCCTGTATGAAACTCAGGGGAGGGGGCAGGAGCTTTGACCTACGCTCACCTCTCTTTAGGGATGGGGACCCCCTGCTAACTCAGTATCCAGCACCCCTTCCCCTCACCACCATGCTGCTGCACAAGCAGGCCCCTGTGATAAGCAAACACCTGTCCAGAGCAGAGGTCTTTGATATGGGATGAAGACATAAAAAGTAGTGCTGTCAAGCGATTAATCGTGCAGTGAAACAATAATAGAATACCATTTATTTAAATATTTTTGGATATTTTCTACATTTTGAAATATATTGATTTCAGTTACAACACAGAATACAAAGTGTATAGTGCTCACTTTATATTTATTTTTTATTACATATATTTGCACTGTAAAAAACAAAAGAAATAGTATCTTTCAATTCACCTAATACAAGCACTGTAGTGCAATCTCTTTATCATGAAAGCTGAACTTACAAATGTAGAATTATGTGGACATGTGTCCATGCTGATGACGGGTTCTGCTTGATAACGATCCAAAGCAGTGCAGACCAACGCTTGTTCATTTTCATCATCTGAGTCAGTTGCCACTAGCAGAAGGTTGATTTTCTTTTTTGGTGGTTTGCGTTCTGTAGTTTCCACATCAGAGTGTTGTTCTTTTAAGACTTCTGAAAGCATGCTCCACACCTCATCCCTCTCAAATTTTGGACAGCACTTCATATTCTTAAATCTTGGGTCTTTAGAAATTTCCCATTGGTACCTTCTTTGCGTTTTGTCAAATCTGCAGTGAAAGTGTTCTTAAAATGAACATGTGCTGGGTCATCATCCAAGACTGCTATAACATGAAATATATGGCAGAATGCAGGTAAAACAGAACAGGGGACATACAATTCTCCCCCAAGGAGTTCAGTCACAAATTTAATTAATGCATTATTTTTTTAAGAAAGTGCCATTAGCATGGAAGCATGTCCTCTGGAATGGTGGCCGACGCATGAAAGGGCATACAAATGTTTAGCATATCTGGCACGTAAATACCTTGCAATGCTGGCTACAAAAGTGCCATGCGAATGCCTGTTCTCACTTTCTTGTGATTTTGTAAATAAGAAACGGACAGCATTATCTCCCGTAAATGTAAACAAACTTGTTTGTCTTAGCGATTGGCTGAACAAGAAGTAGGACTGAGTGAAATTGTAGGTTCTAAAGTTTTACATTGTTTTCTTTTTGAGTGCAGTTATGTAACAAAAAAAATATCTACATTTGTAAGTTGCACTTTCACGATAAAGAGATTGCACTACATACTTCTTTGAGGTGAACTGAAATATAATATTTACTTTGTCATGTTTACAGTACAAATATTTGTAATAAAAATAATAATATAAAGTGAGCACTGTACACTTTATATTCTGTGTTGTAATAGAAATCAATATATTAGAAAATGTAGAAAAACATCCCAAATATTTAATAAATTTCAGTTGGTATTCTATTGTTTAATAGTGCGATTAAAACTGTGATTAATCGCGATTAATTTTTATGAGTTAATCGCGTGAGTTAACTGCAATTAATCGACAGACCTAATAAAAAGTCAACAACCAGTCCCATCTTGTCTTTGTCCCTGTGGCCAGTCCACAATTATACCTTCATGCTTATTCTGTGAGACTTTGTCCCACCCAAATGTAAAAATCCCAAGCAAGGGGGTTCTGCCATTTTCCCGAGAAGCTACTGCAGTCTCAAAGGGATTCTGGGCCTGATCCTTGGCTGGTGTTAATCTGTGTAGCTCTATTGAATACACTCGAGCTACAGTGAGTTACAGTTGGAGAACTGGCCTGAGAATGTCACAGGCATAGGCGCCGACTCCGTGGGTGCTCTGGGGCTGGAGCACCCACGGAAAAAAATTGGTGGGTGCTCAGCACTCACCAGCAGCTCCCCGCCCCACCTCCAGCTTACCTCCGCCTCCTCCGCGAGTGCGCCGCCACGTCCTGCTTCTCCCTGCTCCCTCCCAGAGCTTGCACCACAAAACAGCTGATTCGTGGGGTGGGGGGGGGAGGGGGAACGGAGCACGCTGGGGGCAGAGGCGGGGCCAGGGTAGGGATTTGAGGAAGGGATTCAATAGGGTCAGGGAGGGGGCGGAATTAGGGCAGGGACTTTGGGAATGGGGTTGGAATGGGGGCGGGGCCAGGGGTGGGGGAAGGGTGGAGTCAGGGTGGGGAAACGGGTGGGGGATGCAGGCACCCACTGGTGCCGGAGAAAGTTGGCACCTATGGTCACAGGAGTGGGTGGGTGAGGTTCTGTGGCCTGCTATGTGCAGGACATCAGACTAGATGATCATGATGGTTCCTTCTGACCTTAAAGTCTATGAGCCAGTAGGGGTTTTCCCAGGGCGCTGGTTCAAACACAGTAGGGTCTCTGATTTCAGAAGTGCAGAGCCACAGTTTCTTGGAGAACTGGCAGTGGTGTGATTAGGAATTCACAGCTCAGAGTCCCTGTCCTTATCTCTTTAGATCACAGGTTCTTTCAGAAGTGGGCTGTCATCAATGACCCAAAGGACACCAGGGCAGGAGTGAAAGGATTTGTGAAGTGTAACATTTCTGTCTTTGCACGAGGTGATATAATGGGCTCCCTTCCCACTTCCTCTAGCAGCCAGAATGAAGACATTGAAAAGTAAGTGTGTGTGCTGCAAAGTTTTTGGGCAATCATTGCCCAACAGTTCATAATGGGTTTCTTGAACCCTTCTCTGAAGCCCTGGTGCAGGCCATTGTCTGAGATGGTAGACCAGCCTAAATGGGCCCTGGGCCTAGCGGTTCCCACATTTCCTGTGTTCTTGGGCTTTGACTTGCCGTGGTGATTTACTGTGACCAGTAGAACAATGATTATTTCTTCTAGGAACTTGCTGCTGCCTAAGAGAGTCCCAGCTGAGAGACCCTGGGCCAAAATCTGCATCAAAGTTTACCGAGCCGAGGGCCTGCCCAGCATGAGTGCTGGGATCATGGGGGGGTTCTCAAAGATTGTGGGCGAGAAGAAAGTTTTCATTGATCCATATGTGCAGGTGTCATTTGCCGGGCAACAGGTAAGTCTGCTTGGGCATTCGGGTCTCTGTATCCCACAGGGAGGCCTGGGCAGACCCTCTGTTTTCTGAACGTTAAGCCCCACATCACTGTCGTCTGTGCAGTTGAGATTGGTTTGGAAATGCATATGAATGGATATAGGGATGCAAGAGGTCAGACTCACCTCTGCGGCGCCTCCTGCTGGCTACTCCAGGGAATCAGCTCAATCCAGCCTGGAGCGCCCTCTGCAGGCTGGTGAGCCGCCTTGTCCTCTACTGGCTCCCATGTCCCTCCCAGGACCCCGCTGCCCCTTGCTATAGGTGCTGCCCCCTGGCACTACCCACACACGCTGGGTCTCCCCTCCCAGGGGAACCCCCACCCAGCCTCAGTGTAAGGCTACTTCCAGTCATCATCTAGCCCCATGCCTGGGGCAGACTGCAGTATCAGCCTACTCATCTCTGGCAAGGAGGATTTGGACCTGCTGCCTTGGCCTACCTCTGGGCTGCCCTCTGCAACCCCCAGTACTCCTTAGCCTAATGCTAGACCACAGCCTGGGGCTTTCCAGGCTGGAGCTCCCCAGCCCTGCTCCACTCAGGTACCCTGTCTCAAGCTCCCTGCAGCCAGGCCCTTCTCTCTATGAATTCAGAGAGAGACTGCTTGGCTTCTGGCTCACAGCCTTTTTATATAGGGCCAGCTGAGGCAGGATTGGGGTGTGGCCCAGCTGCGGCTACTTCCCTAATCAGCCTAGGTAGCTTTTCCTACAGCCCCAGCCCTCTGCAGGGCTGGCTTTAACCCTTCCCAGGCAGGAGTGGGTGTCCACCCCACTACAAGGGAACATACTGAAACTTGGAGAGACAGTCTGCACCAATCAGAGCTTGGATAGTCATATGGTTAGCAGCAGCATGAGCCAGCAATAAAGTAGGAAAGTCATGTGATTAGGGAGAATCTGAGCCTGCATAGGTTCATGGTGGAGAGGAGCTGTTGATGAGATACTGAGGCCACAGCCCAAGCTCTGAGGACGTCACAAGCTGTTGTGATAGTCCAGGTGGTTTGGTTATCAGACACAGGTAGACACAAATGTTTCTAGAACTCCTCACACTGCTGAGTATAGGAAAAAGCTCAAAAGAAATCCCAAGGATGAAATCACACAGACTGTTCCATGTCTGGCTCCCTTGGGTGGGTTCCATGGTGTCTGGATGCATTGAAACTGCCCAGCCAGCTCTGTCCTGTACAGCCCGCACAGCCTGATGTGACTGCTGGTCCACCCTGTTACTCTGTCCTGCCCTGAGGCCTGGAGCCTTTGTTAATCAGTCACATGGTTGCCCAGCCTTTCCCTCAGCCCTGTAGTGTGGTGCAGAGTCCTCAGGAAATGCTTCACTCCTGTTAAACCCAGAGACTGTTTACCAGGTGCACAAGAGGACAGGAGCAGCGATCTACCCAGCTTTGAAGCTAGCACTCTCCTGTTGTGCACAGCTCTATATACAGGCCAGCTAGGTAAGCAGAGGTGCAGGCTGGAAGAGCAGCTCCATTGTTTTTCTTATAAACTGAGCCATTTGATATAAGGTTAGTGGGACAATAAACGTGGGGCCATTATATAATTTCTCTTCAGAGCAGGACAGCACATGAGGACATTACATTTACTTCTCCCCCATTTTATATCTTCTTTCTCTTACCCCTCCAGGACAAGCCATCACCCTCCACCTCATCTGAGCTCCACATGGCTGGCTCTGGCCATTAGAGGGCTGGAGCCCCTCCACTCTGACCCTTGCTCAGCTGTGAGGTGCTCCTGCCTGAGCCTGGCCTGCATGTGCTCCAGGGCACTGAGCTCCCCCATGCTAAGCTCCCACAGCTGGCCAAGGGTGGTTTATGCAGCATCTGTACACTGGCTGCTGCCACCACTCACCAGTGTTTTAGAGTGACTCTCCTTGCGTTGGCAGTGAGGTCAGAACAGAGGACCAGGGCCTCAGAGCCACACACTAATGGGGAATCCAGATTTTCCCAGAATGCCTCAGTGATTTCTCTTGAACCTGTGGCTGGCTTTGAAGCCACTTGGAGTTCTTTAGCAGTGCGCCGTGCAGTTCTCATGCTTCTCTCTGCCCCAGGGGGAGACCTCGGTGGAAAATGACACTGCAGAACCGGAGTGGAACGAGCAGATCAGCTTCATCGAGATGTTCCCTCCTCTTGCCAGAAAAATAAAAGTCCAACTGTTAGATGATGCAAACATTGGGGACGTGGCGCTCGCTACGCACTTCATTGACCTGCAGCAGATATCTGACCCTGGGAGGAACGGTGAGGCCTTTACACTCCACGCCTCTGTCCTGTCCCCTGCCATGGAGCTATCCAGGCAGCACTTAGAGCGTCAAATATGATTCTGCTCCCCCACCCCATGCACCTGCCACAGTCATATATGCCTCTGTCTGTGGGGTATGCCCAGGTCTGTCTGTCGTGAAGTGTCCAGGTCTGTCTGAGGGGTGTCTGTCTGTCTGTGGTGAACAGCCCAGGTCTGTCTGGGTGGAGTGTCTGTCTGTGGGGATATGCCCATGTCAGTGTGTGCATGGGGTGCCTGTCTGTGGTGAACTGCCCAGGTCTGTCAGTGGGTGGGGTGCATGTGGGGTACACCCAGGTCTGTCTGTGGGTGGGGTGTGTCTGTCTCTGGAGGTGTACCTGTCAGTTAAGGCAAATCCTGAACTATTTAATTGCAAGCGTTTCTGTCCCTGCAGGCTTTAACCCCACATTTGGCCCATCCTGGGTGAATCTCTATGGCTCTCCCCAGAACTCGGCTCTGCGGGATGTCCACAAGGATCTGAACGAGGGCCTGGGGGAGGGCATATTCTACCGTGGCCGCATCCTCCTGGCCATTTCTATGGAGATTTTCAGCAGCCCCAGCGCAATAGATGGCAAGCGCAAGGAGGTGCTGAGGGGCACCTTGAGCAAACTGACGCTGAAGAAGAAGAAGAGTAAAAAGGCCAAGGAGAAATCCAAGGCCAGCGCCAAAGAGCAGAGCCAGAGGCAAGGTGGGGACGAGGCTGGCAGCCCCGAGGAGGCAGAGCAGCCCAGTGAGGTCACTGTGGAGGTGGAGGAGCTCCATCCGCTCCCAGAGGTGGGCACTCCAGGGACTGATGGGCCATTCTAAGGGAGGGGATGGGAAAGAGGCCAGGAGCTTCAGGTTTACACTCCGGCTGAGAGCTGTGTGTAAACACGCTGGCGCAGGAGTGACTAGTAACTCACACCTGCTGTTCTTGCAGTGCCATTCGGAGTGTACACGTATGTGGGATGAGAACTGACCCAAGCTAAAATACAGTGGGGCCCTTCCTATGCCAAAGGAGTGTGTGCTCTGGAAGCTGCAGGTGTGCTGGGTCCGTTACTGCGGAGCGCTTTGGCTACCGGCGCTGATTTTTCCTTTTCCCTGGGGGTGCTCAACCCCCGCTTCACCCCGATGCCCCGCCCCCACTCTGCCCCTTTCCCTGAAGGCCCCACCTTCACTCTGCCTCCTCCCTCCCCCATTCTGCCCCGAGACCTCCGGCCACCTGCCACTCTCCACCCTCCCCCTACAGCTGTTTGACGGCTGCGCGATACCCCCATCAGCTGAGGAGCGAGGGCGGGGAACAGCTGTGGCCAGTGGGTGCTGAGCACCACTGTTTTTTTCTGTGGATGCTCCAGCCCCAGAGCACCCACGGAGTCGGCGCATATGGCTTTGGCGAAGGCAAGTCCCGTGTCTGCAGCTCTGATGCTCTGCTTTTAAAAACTAGTTCTGGTCTCAGAGAGCGGCCGCCGCCCGTCGCAGGCAGGGCCCTCCTGAGGCCTTGCACTGACCGAAAGCCAGTGCAGTAATTGAATAGTTGCATTGTGACTGGGGACAATAGGCAAGGCCCCTGCCCCCACCACAGAGTGTTCCCCTGAGCTTGTCTCCCGCTTGCTAAACCCTTGTCATTGTTGGAACCTACAAACCTGCCGCTCTGTGGGAAGCTGGTGGAGTGAATCCAGGACAGGTTGCTCAGGGCACGAGCACGACCAGCAGAGCAGCCCTGCCACGCACCCTGGCAATTGCCGTCCTGGAGCCTCTGAGTCAGCGGGGTGGGTGAGGCTGCTATGTGCTCAGCATAGGGTAAATAAAGTTGTAATTCAGAGGAAAGGGGACCCCTGGGGCCTCAGTGCTGGGCCCCTCCTGCCCCCTGGGACCCTCACCGCTGGCCCGAACAGTCATTACAAACACCCTCTGTCACCCTTTTTGTGAACTTCTAGTAGGCTTCCCTCTTCCAAGAAGCATCATTTCCATCCTGCCCGCCCTCAGCCTGAGCCAGCCAGCTGCTATCTAGCTCCATGTCTCCATCAAGCGCTGGGGAAGTAGGGAAGCCTCCACCCAGCTCAGTGACAAGGGGAGAGAGAGCTGAGTCCATCAGTAGTGTACTGGCACCTTAGCCTTTAGACCAGTGGTCCCCACGGAGGACCGTGGTGGCGGACGAGCATCCGCCAAAATGTCGCCGACAAGCGGCGTCATCCAGAGGCGGCGTCGCCAAAATGCTGCCAAAATTCAGCGACATTTCGGCAGATGCTCATCCACTGGCTAGTATGCGAGGCACTTAGATGCCAGTGGGCACCGCACTGGGGATCCCAGCTTTAGACCCTCTCGGGCTTCCCCTGTGGTATCACATAAGCACTGAACCAGGGGAGAGCCAGGACTGAGCTGTGGGAGATAGAACGATTGCTCCGCCACAGCCTCAGGGATCATAGACTCATAGGACTGGAAGGGACCTCGAGAGGTCGTCTAGTCCAGTCCCCTGCACTCATGGCAGGACTACGTACTATCTAGACCATCCCTGACAGGTGTTTGTCCAACCTGCTCTTAAAAATCTCTAATGATGCGGATTCCACAACCTCCCTGGGCAACTTATTCCAGTGCTTAACCATCCTGACTGTTAGAAAGTTTTTCCTAATGTCCAACCTAAACTGCCCTTGCTGCAATTTATGCCCATTGCTTCTTGTCCTATCCTCAGTGGTTAAGAAGGACAATTTTTCTCCCTTCTCCCTGTAACAACCTTTTATGTATCATGTCCCCTCTCAGTCTTCTCTTCTCCAGACTAAACAAACCCAATTTTTTCAATCTTCCCTCATAGGTCAAGTTTTCAAGACCTTTAATCATTTTTGTTGCTCTTCTCTGGACTTTCTCCAAATCTTTCCTGAAATGTGGCACCCGGAATTGGACACAATACTCCAGTTGAGGCCTAATCAGCGCAGAGCATAGCAGAAGAATTATTTCTTGTGTCTTGCTTACAACACTCCTACTAATATATCCCAGAATGATATTTGCTTTTTTTGCAACGGTGTTACACTGTTGACTCATATTTAGCTTGTGGTCCACTATGACCCCCAGATCCCTTTCTGCAGTACTCCTTCCTAGGCAGTCATTTCCCATTTTGTATGTGTGCAACTGATTGTTCCTTTCTAAGTGGAGTACTTTGCATTTGTCCTATTGAATTTTATCCTATTTACTTCAGACCATTTCTCCAGTTTCTCCAGATCATTTTGAATTATATAATCCTATCCTCCAAAGCACTTGCAACCCCTCCAAGCTTGGTATCATCTACAAATTTTATAAGTGTACTCTCTATGCCAGTGTTTCCCAAACTTGGGATGCCGCTTGTGTAGGGAAAGCCCCTGGCAGGCCGGGCCGGTTTGTGTACCTGCCGCGTCCGCAGGTCTGTACGATCTCAGCTCCCATTGGCTGCGGTTCGCTGCTCCAGGCCAATGGGAGCTGCTGGAAGTGGCGGCCAGTACGTCCCTCGGCCTGCACTGCTTCCAGCAGCTCCCATTGGCCTGGAGCAGCGAACCGCGGCCAGTGGGAGCTGCGTTCGGCCAAACCTGCAGACGCAGCAGGTAAACAAACCGGCCCAGCCTGCCAGAGGCTTTCCCTACACAAGCGGCATCCCAAGTTTGGGAAACACTGCTCTATGCCATTATCTAAATCATTGATGAAGATATTGAACTGAACTGAACCCAGAACTGATCCCTGCGGGACCCCACACGTTAGGCCCTTCCAGCATGATTGTGAACCACTTATAACTACTCTCTGGGAACAGTTTTTCAACCAGTTTTGCACCCACCTTATAGTAGCTCCATCTAGGTTACATTTCCCTAATTTGTTTATGAGAAGGTCACACAAGACAGCATCAAAAGCCTTACTAAACTCAAGATACACCACATCTACCGCTTCCCCCACATCCACAAAGTTTGTTACCCTGTCAAAGAAAGCTATCAGGTTGGTTTGACATGATTTATTCTTGACAAATCGATGCTGACTGTTACTTATCACCTTATTATCTTCTAGATGTTTGCAAATGGATTGCTTTATTATTTGCTCCATTATCTTTCCGGGTACAGAAGTTAAGCTGACTGGTCTGCAATTCCCCAGGTTATCCTTATTTCCCTTTTTATAGATGGGCACTATCTATATTTGCCCTTTTCCAGTCCTCTGGAATCTCTCCCATCTTGCATGACTTTTCAAAGATAACTGGTGACACCATCCTGCAGCAGCTCTTTCCTCTCTGCCGGGTCTTGCCAATCAAGGCAGCCACTCCTCATGGCCCATGGGATGAAGGTGCTGCTGTGTGAGGGGCACCATTCTCAGGCCCCAGGGCCCGCTGCTCTGCTTAGGAGTATTTTGACATGACCCCTGTGATCGTTGGACTGATTGGTGTCTCCTTGTTTAGAACTCACTGGGAGTGAAGGAAGAATTCCTCCTCTACGCTGCCTTCTTTGAAGTGACTATGATGGACCCCTCCATAGGCTCCAAGCCTGTCCGTTTTGAGATCTCAATAGGTAAATGTTTCTGATGCTCCTGTTTTCTTGAATTAGAAGAAACAAAATGAAAATATTTCTGAGCCTCATCAAAATGTATTAATTTCCAGCCAGATTAGTTCACAGTTCTGGCTGTAAAGTGCCCTAACAGGTACACAAAACCGCACAACATGAATGTCACAGCTAAAAGCACCCTCGAGGTTACAGGGTGGAGATTTCTAGTGCAGGTTATGGAGATAAATATTCTAGCTAACTCAGGCCTTTTCAGAATGGATTAGTGATTGTCCAAATTCCCGGGGAACATTCCAGAGTTAGGGTTTGTGGGGGGACACTTACGGTGGGAGTAGGGGAGAAGGATGGTGGGAAGGGACTGCAGAATAAGGGAGGGCAGTGGGAGAGGGAAATGCGGGAGTGGAGGGAGAGAGAGCGAGAGAGAGGCTGAGAAGCTCAATGGTTGTGGAGTGATGCCAGGCAGTTGAGGGCATCAGAGGGATGGGGCAACTGGGGAAACAACCCGTGGGAAAAGATTTTTTTTTTTAAAGTCCAAAGTCCCAAACTTCAGAGTTAAGTGAATGACGACGCTAGGAAGCTGCAAAGGCTCCTGCCAGCTTCTGCTGCTGCTTCCCACATGGAGCGGGTTGGGTGGAAGAAAGAAGGGAAGCTGCTGCACCTGGGTGGGTCCTTCTGAGTCTAGTGAGGGTGTCGGGGGGCTAAAAGACTCCCTATAGTAAAACTGTGAACTCGGAAGAGTCTAGGAGGAGTTCATGTCTGGCCATCCAGAGTCTCCAGCTTGTGTGCACCATGCTCTGATGGCTGGACATTAAGGGACTTCTAATGCCAGGAACACTGGCACTTGCTTCTGGTACTCCAGTGGCTGGGCAGGAAGATCCTGTCACCTCTAGGCTATGGCAGATATTTAGTTTAAAATATGAACAATACATGTCTTTGCAAGGGAACTATGGGAAAGCTGAAGAGGTTGTGACCAAAATCCCTAAGAAAGGTCAGAAAGGAGAAGGGCCTGAAGACAAGCAGCCTTTGCTGGATCCCAGTTCAGACGAGGAGCTGGATATTGAAGTTATGGCCCCAAGTCCAACTTTACAGAATAAATCCATGACAGAAAGCCAAAGGCCAGAGCCCACTGAATATGACAGGTGAGTTCTCTTCATGGTGCTCGCTCACATCAGCCTCCTTCGGAAAGGTGCTTTGGACTCTTATTCATCCCATAAGGCATTAACAGGTACATGGGTGTAGATGGTAGGGCTCCTAGCTAATCATGTTCCACCTAGCCAGCGAGATTCTCTAGTGAATCGGTAGGAGTTGGAGGCTTCTCACTTCCATTGATTTGAATGAACGTTCGGGGCCTAAGTGCTTTTGATCCCCCAGCCCTAGATGCCATACGTAGATAGCTAAAGGCCATTGTCCCCAGGAGAGCAGTGGTTCCGCCTATGGTGGCAGCAGAAATGCCGTGCTAGGTACATTGGGTATTCAGCATTTCAAATGCTGGATATGAAGTGTTCCAACTGAGGGTGGGAGTGGAGGATTAGCATGTGGTGCTTCTCTGGTACAGGGAATCCCCCCGAATGGGCAGGGAGATGATTGCTATGGGACAAAAGACAGGAATTTAGCTCTTCCAATCTGGTTTTGGAGCTGTCTAGGTCCAGTGTCTGTTGAGCCTTCACCCCAGAGGGGGTTCAGACCAGCTGACTGCCATAGACACCAGGAGGAACTCATTTTATTGGGTGGGTTAGGCCATCTTAGACTCCACTGAGCTTCATCCTGTTCTGTTGAGGCTCCTTTTACTCATTTGGGATGGCAGAGGACAAATCCTTTGGCTTCAAACTGTGTCTTTCCTGCGATGGCACAATGTCCATGAGAGAGGAGAATGCTCAGTGCCTTTTCCGCTGCAGGGAAGAACACAGCCTTGAGCATTGCTCGGCGTGCTGGGGCTTCACCAACTGCATGCTGCACTAGGGGATTTGCTGTTGGGGGTTCAAGACTGGTGCCAGAGTCTAGTGTTGGTGGCCAGACAAGCTTGACCCCCCCAAAGAAGGTTCAGTGTCTAGGGTCTTGATGAAGTCATTGTGTAAGACAAGTTCCAGCTATGAGGGTCATTCCAGGCTGCCCTGGAGGAGTTCTCCGACCTCCCCCGTTGGGGTTGGCTCTGCCATAAGCACTGCATCAGCCCTTGCACCCAGCCCATATGGCAGGATCTCTGAGCCAGATTCATAAAGGTACTTCAGCTCCTTGATCATGGAATTAGGCACCTAAGCCCCAGTTTTAGACTCCACTGAGGTCCACAGAATCCCCACCGAATGCTGTAGGCATCTAAACTAAGTCTTCAGCGTAAAAGTTCCCTTGGCACCTGTGTTTCTGTCTCTGGGTATGCACGCTGCTGCCTCCCTTTAGGGGACGTCTCCTTCCGAGGCCCAGAGCACTCCACAAATCCGAGAAGGTAAGTTTTCGCCTGTGGGGCCTGATATGGGGGTGGGGGAGGCTGAGGTGTTATTCAGAGGTCACCTGCTGGGTCGGGTCCCATTCAAAATCTGCCTAGAGGTGTTGCCTACCTCCTAACTTTGTCCCAGTAGTTAGAGCAGTCACCTGGGATATGGGTGACCGAGGTTCAATTCCCCTGTCTGCTGAAACAGGGGGAAAATGAGGTCTGAACGTGGGTCCCACCCCTCTCAAGGGTGAGTTATGGGTTATTCTCATATGGGGCTCCCTTAATCTCTCCTCTTGATGTTATTCCACTGTGCGTTATAGAGTTACTGGGGACGGGGACTGAATGCTGGGTCTCCCACCTCACTGGGGTGCCCTGGCCACTGGACTACAGAGTCGTTCTCTCTCTCACTCTGGCCCAGTGATGCTAAGTATTTGTCCCCAATGGAATAGCTTCCCTGGAGAGACCGAGGGAGCCCCGCATCAGACGATCCCACAGTACAGTCGTTAGAGCACCCCCTATTCAAATCCTTTTATCCCCTCTGATGGGTCTCCCACATCCTGCGCAAGTGCTCTAACCACTGGGCTAAACGTTATCACATGATGGCACCCCTCCTCCTCTGGCTGTTCTGTGTGGACAGCCCTGCATGATTCATTTTCACAAGAAACTCCCTGGGCGCCTAGGGCGACCTGACATCCCGGATCTGGATCGCAGAGACAGGCGCTTCCTTGCAGCCTGGACTTAGGCACTTCTCTCTGTGAGCGGGACGGGGCTCAGCACTCACTCCTATAGCTTCAGAGAGTCCTGTGGCACCTTTAAGACCAACAGATGTATTGGAGCATAAGCTTTCGTGAATGAATGCCCACTTCACCCACGAAAGCTTATGCTCCAATACATCTGTTAGTCTTAAAGGTGCCACAGGACTCTCTGTTGCTTTTTACAGATCCAGACTAACACGGCTACCCCTCTGATACTTGACTCCTATAGCTGGCATCTCCCATTGGTTAGTCCAAGCAGCTCTTGCCTAGCATACTGGCTGCTGTGAATGGCATTCTAAGGCACCTGTTTCTCCCCGTGCATTGTACGGGGAGCCCAGGTTCCTGACTCAGGCTTTGTGGATCCCAGTGTGTTCCTGTGATTTTCTAGGCACCTGAGAGCTAGGCGCTGCAATGCTCAGTGTCACCACCCTACGTCCCTTGTGAATCTGGGCCTCTGTTCTCAGCACTGTGCTTCTTTCTCGGAGCTAAGGCAGCAGCCGCAGAGCCATGCATCCCATGGCTTGGTTCCCCAAGGCGACTGACATGTATTAGGATGGCTCTGAGGCTGCTTCAGTCTCTCAGTGTGAGTTGTAACCTGCTCTGCCTGTTGCTCTTAGTTCTTACAGCTGCCTGCCCTTGCTGCATGAGAAGCCCTGTGTGTACGTCTGGAGCTATTGGGAAGATCACACCTGGAGGCTCTACAATTCCAACTGGATTGTCAAAATAGCAGAACGCCTGGTAAAGTATAGCAGTGACTGGGAGACCCCATTGCTTCCCCTCGCACTGCTTCCTCCTATCACTCTTTCTTGGGCTTACTGATTTCTTTTATGACATTTATTTGTAGCAATTTTTGAGTTTTATGTAGATGTCCAATAGGGTGACCAGATGTCCCGATTTTGTAGGGACAGTCCCGATATTTGGGGCTTTTTCTTTTATAGGCTCCCATTACCCTCAACCCCCTGTCCCGATTTTTCACACTTGCTGTCTGGTCAACCTAAATAATTGGGGGTGTTTGAGGCTTTCTCTTTGTACGTACTGTAACGAGTAATTGTATCTCACATACGTTACTCCTGGCAGTAGCGCATACCGAGAGTGTAATCTCTTTGTAAAGTTCCACAGCATGCTTTAACAGAGCACTTCTTCAAACAGCACTACATTAAAGTGCACTAGGTAGACTTCAGTGTGCACAGGCAGGGTCTACATGGGCCAATTAATGTGCCACAGGTTACTGTAGACAAGCTCTTAGATACTAATAAGCTTTTCTGGTGTTTTCCCAATGTTCATTGTAAAAACACTGGTTTCATTTTTTTGTGTGGGGGTGTTTCATTGGTGTTTATCAGTTAAAACAGAAAATCAGAAGCCCAAAGTTAATCTGTCAGGAGTTTAATACTCTCCTCCCCCACTGCAGTCAGGGCCTCTTGCAGGATTGAGTCCTGGCCGCTCACATGGGTTTGATCAGGAAAAGTACAGCATGTGCAATATTGAGATGGTGGGAGCTGGACGCGCTGTTCCATGGTTTCTCACATTCTCTTTCTTTGCGTGCAAGCAGTGTGCTATCTTTGGACACATGCTGCATTGTTGCGTTTTGTGATGCAGGTTCTTTGGGGGAGCTGTTGCAAACCACAAAGGAACTTGTTCTCAGCCTTAATTTCTCTAACTGGAGTCAATACTTACTTAGGGCACAATTGCGTCCTGGGAACTGGGCACTGGTGTTTGGGTTGAGAAATCTGAAAGAGGTTACCTATGTGCCATTTGTGACCACTTCTGTTCCAGGACTGGTGTATATAGTGTAAATATAAAAAGTAACACTCATATACCCGGTTTCCACATCACTGATTCTCCTCCAACAGGAAGCTGACCTGCAAGGCCCTGACATTTGCTACCTCTTGTCAAAGGGGCCCCGAGGTTATTTTAGGCGAATTTTCGGGGACTTGACACAAAGGCACTGGTCTCCCTGCTGCATGTCTGCACTTGCACCCAGGGATAATTTTAACGTGGCGCTTGTCTCAACAGGAACATGGACTGGATGACGTGGAGACGCTCATGAGGAGGCCAAAGTCTAAAGCAGAAGACAGACTCAAGCAGGTGCTGGAGGAGTTTGTAGCTGGATGCAGGTTAGTGAGTCTCTGCTTCCTTTGGTTTCTTTCTGAACTCTTTGTTTGCATTTCAGTGAATGTTCCCAGACACCACATTCTCCCCAGACCTTGCCCAGCCTGTTCTGCCCCAGTCACAGGTGTAGGCCAAAACCCATAACTTTTCAATCACAGTTAGAGGTGGATCGAAATGTCCCAGAACTTGGGAGCAGATCACACCTAGCTCCAGAGCCAATCATTGTGGCGAAGGCCCATCACTAGTTATGAATTGCTATGCAGAGATAGGCACCTATCTCCTGAGAAGGGCGGGGCTTTCCTCTCATCTGCATCTCCCATTGGTAGTTTAGGCAGCTCACTGCCTAGCTAGCTGGCATATGGCAGTCTAAGGTGCCTGTCTCTCCCCAGTCATTATACAGGGAGCCTAGGCACCTAGCTCAGACTTTGTGGATCACAGTGTGATCCTGTGATTTTCTAGGCACTTGAAAGCACAGGCGCCAACTCCATGGGTGCTCTGGGGCTGGAGCACCCATGGGGAAAAATGGTGGGTGCTGAGCACCCATCAGCTCCCCCTCCAGTCCCCCAGTGTTTGCTGCCCATTGGCAGGTCCCATTGATTAAGCCTCACCCTCCCTCCCCGCGTCTCTCGCCTGCCACGATCAGCTGTTTCACGGCATGCAGGAGGTTTTGGGAGAGAGGGGGAGGAGCAAGGGCGCGGCTTGCTGGGGGGTGGAGGCGGAACGGGGTGGGAAGAGGCGGGGGTGGAGCGGGGACCGGAAGAGGCGGGGGTGGAGCGAGGACCGGAAGAGGCAGAGTGGGGGTGGGGCCTGAGGCAGAGCCGGGGGTCAAGCACCCCCTGGCACATTGGAAGGTCGGCGCCTGTGCCTGAGAGTTAGGCACAATTTCCTGGGGAGCCCAAAGCTCTGCAGAGGATGCCTGAGCAGTGACCAAAGCAGGCCTGTGTGCTCCGCAGAGCCAGCAGCAATCAGAGGAAGGGTGTTATACTGCAAGAGACTGTGTGGTTCCTCTGCTGCTTTGCACGCTACACTGAAGCACAATGGTGCAGGCCCCTCCTCGAGCGAAGGGCTCTACGGTTTAGGAAGAAAGCCATCTAGCTAGTAAGGCTGGTCAATAAAGACAAGAAAGGAGGGGAAGAGAGGGAAGGAAAGGGAAGAGGGGGGATGGAAGCAGGGGCGGCTCCAGGCACCAGTGCAGCAAGTGCGTGCCCGGGGCAGCAAGCCGCGGTGGGCAGCCTGCCGGTCGCTGTGAGGGCGGTAGGCTGGCGGCTTTCGGCGGCATGCCTGCGGGCAGGGCCAGCTTTAGGCCAATTCCCCCGATTCCCCGGAATTGGGCCCCACGCCCAGCCAGAGCGTGGCAAGCCCGCAGTCCCGCTCCCCGAGCCGGAGCTCCAAAGCCCCACAGCCCCGCTCCCTCGGCCGGAGCTCCAAAGCCCCGCGGCCCCACTCCCTTGGCCGGAGCTCCAAAGCCCCGCGGCTCCGCTCCCCAGGCCGGAGCTCCAAAGCCCCGCGGCCCTGCTCTCCCGGCCGGAGCTCCAAAGCCCCGCGGCCCCGCTCCCCCGGCCGGAGCGCAGCAAGCCCTGTGGCCCCCCTCCCCGGCCGGAGCATGGCAATCCAAAGTGCCGCCGAAGACTTGGAGCGCTGGCCGGTGAGTATAAGCCCCACGAATCAGGCCCCACACTTGCTAAAGCTGGCCCTGCCTGCGGGAGGTCCACCGATCCCGCGGCTTCGGCGGCAATTCAGCAGTGGGGACCTCCTGCAGGCATGCCGCCGAATCCTCGTGACCAGCGGACCGCCCGCAGGCGTGCCACTGAAAGCCGCCTGCCTGCTGTGCTTGGGGCGGCAAAAAACATAGAGCCGCCCCTGGATGGCAGCCAAGAAGAGGCAGGAGAGATTGAGTGAGCTCATACAGGGCACCCCGCTCCCAGGAAGCACAGGGGGAGCAGGCTGCAGTTCCAGAGCTGGTGTTAATGGGTATCTGGGCGGTTTGCCACAGTAAGCGGAATGTAGCTTCAGGTGCTACGCCAGCCACTCTCTGCTTTGATAACTGCCTTTGTGCTTCCCCTCCCTTTCTGCTTGGAAAGACCCACGCGGACAGGAGGGAGACTGAAGCTGACTAAGGTCCCATTCAGGGTGACTGCTCAGTGGGGCAGGAGCCTGTTGTGGGGCTAGAGCCTAATTTACTATGAAGGGGACACACGAGGTCCTGCCTAATGCACAGCTCAAATGCAGCTAAGGGCTGTTGGTGGCTGGAGAAGGAAAAGCAGTTCAGAGAGAGGGGGGATGTTAGTGGTTTCCCTTGAAATCCATTAGGTTCATGTTTTCGGAGTGCCCTGCCTGAGGGATGTGGAGAGCGTGGTCCTGGCTCAGGGCTCACGGGCTCTCTCTAATCACAGGCAGTATTCACTGAATGCTGAGAAAAAAATGATGTCACGTCCAAACAACCTCGACAGATGTCGGCTGAAATCCCTGACACACAACATTGTAAGTGGGGTAGGGTCTGTGAGGTTGAGGGAGGGAGGGGCTTTGGGTGGTCACTGGCTCTGAGAGGAGTTTGGGGACGGGGACAAGGTGGAATTGCCATCATGGGAGATGTGTAGTGCCGGTTCTGAAGGAACTGTATGTGTCTGAATGGCCATTGTTATGTGCCCATCACCGCAGCCTCCATCCTGCTGCTCCTGCAGCCGGAGTCTCGGGGCAGTTCTGCACAGGTGCGTGGGTCTGCCCACCTGGAGTGCCCTCGAGACTGATGGGGCTTGGCTGTCTGGAACAGCTTGCAGGATCGAGACCTTAGCCAGTAAAACTGAGCTACTGCCTTTCTGCCGGAGGCCGTCTCTTTACCTGCCCAACTCCAGATAATCCCTGAGTAACCTGGTAAGCCTCACACTGTGCCCTGGAGGGCGGCCACCTTGCAGAGAGGGTTGGTTCTAATGCTAAAGGCTCTCTGTGACCGTAGCTAATAGTCTGTGGGTACTGCCCCTGCCACCCTTCCCTCACTCAATAGGAGCAGGTGTCCATCTCCCCACGGATCCTGTCCTGGGTAGGGGCTGGCCCCTGAGGCTTCAGAGGAAGTTGTCAGGCTCCCCACAAGGGGCAGTTCTGCAGTAAGCAGCCCCAGAGGCAGTTTGTGCTGTGGTTGGTTTGTGCCCCGAAGTCCCATACTGATTTTATTCTAGCTCTTGTGACTCACACACTTAAACATCTGGGTCCTGTGTGTCCTAGCTTGGGGCAGTGCCTGGGTCCCAGCCCAGATTCCACAGGGCTCTGGAATCAGCCCCTGGAAAGGCCCCTGAAAGGGGAGCCAGGGCAGCTCCTGAAGCTCAGGTGGAACAGGCTCACTGAGGGCTGCTCCGCCACAAAGAAACAGTTGGAGTCCAGTGCAGGGTATGGCTGGGCCGTGTGGGGCTGTGTTCCCCCGCATGGCTCAGTGACGGACTCCGTGTAGGACTGTGGCTGGGCTTGTGGGACTGGGTTCACAGGTGTGGCTGGGGCGTGTGGGGCCGGGCTTCCCTGCACGGCTCAGTGACAGGCTCAGTGTGAGGGTGTGGCTGGACCGTGTGGGGCCGGATTCCCGGGTGCGGCTCAGTGAGACAGGCTCAGTGTGGGGTGTGACTGGGCCGTGTGGGGCCGGGTTCCCGGGTGCGGCTCAGCGACGGGCTCAGTGTGGGGGTGTGGCTGGGCCGTGTGGGGCCGGGTTCCCGGGTGCGGCTCAGCGACAGGCTCAGTGTTGCTGATAAATTGCTGGAAGTTGTTGGTGACGTTAATTTCGAGGGGACCCGTCCCCACTCTGTGGCTGCTGCTCTCCCCTGCCCACTGGGAGCTGTGGGGGTGGTGAGAGCTGTGCTGGAGATGGCCGTACAGGCTTGGGTCCATCCCGCTGAGTACAGCTCCTCAGACAGGCCTAGATGTGACCACCTGACCTTGGGATGCTGGTGTCTCCGGCGTTCTCGGTGGGTGTCAGGCGCGCTGCAGACCTGTGACCGGTGTGCTTTGTGTTCAGATCCTGTATGCGAAGCAGGGGCTCCGCGTGAGGAGGCGGCTGACTCGAGCCAACGTGAAGGAGAAAGTGAATGACACAAAGAGAATCCTAGGAAAGCTGCGCTCCCTGGCTAAAGAGGTATGATGTGTGCTGGCCGGGACCCCGGGCACCCCCCACTTCTGGACAGGCAGGCGAAGGGGGCCAGGCCCCCACTGGCTGGGCTAGTGGAGACTAGGCTCTCCTTCTCCCCCACCCCCGTGGATGGGCGGGGGCTGGGCTCCCTCTTTCCCAGTTGGGAGGGTGGGGGCTGAGCTCTCTCCCTCTCGCTAGGCAGGTGGCCTCTCTACTCTGAATGATTTTTTCCTATTGTAAACACTCCTGTGAGCTAGGGGGCAGTGCCAGCGAGAGCCAAGGTGGCTGAGGCTGTGCCTACTCCCATGGGTAGCTGGACCCTCACCCCGCTTGGGAAGTGTGTAGAGAATGTTAGATTGAATTATGCTGCTCAGCCACTAGGTGGCACCGTGTCACAGCCCTTATTGACGCTCACAACATTCCTGGCAGTGCATTAGTGTCTTAAGGTGAACACATCCCTAGTGCACCTCTGGGGGTAGGAAGCTCTGTGGCCTGTCCATATCTGGCACAAGAGCCTGACATGCTAGTAGCAGCCCTGCAACCTGCTCTGTCCAAGGTGTACGTGATAGAAGATGATAGAATAAATGGTTCTAAGTGATGGAGAAATAGTGGATCTGCTGTGATTTGTGAGCAGAACCTAATGATCCCCGGCCTATATGTGACATCACTGCTTTCTGTCCCTGCCTGGCCTGGCCTGGCCTGACACACAGCCAAATCCCGGCCATTTGGCAGCAGCGCGCTTGAACGGGGAGACAATCTCTAGTTCTGCTGTCTCAGGGTCTCTCCCCAGGAGAATCCGTGTTGAGCACATTCTGTGAATTCTGAGCTTTCATTTAAAACAATTCTGTTTCTTTTTCTGTAGCAAAAATTTGGGCCTTTCTATATTCAAAGTTTCCTCACAATTAGTTTTAATCAGTTTACAAAACGAATTCGTTAAACTGGTGAAAACATAGTGTGGATACTCTTAATTGGATTAAAACCAGATCTGCCTCGATGTAGGTCTTAACTGATTCTTTACTGAATTAAGGTAAATTCATATAAATTAGGCTTAATTTGGGTTAAGTGTGTCCCCGGTGGGTATTGCATGGGTTTAACTCACTTGGTTTGGAATCGCACCTTCAGTGAGATGAATGCAGCTTTGAACACAGACAAGGCCTACCTCTTCGCAATGTTAACTAATGAGATGCTGCCCTGTTAATCCAGCCAGTAGAGAGCTGTTCCCAGCCAGCAATGAGACAAAGGCAGGAATTTACCTCACCTCTTTCCTTACCTCAATGAGATGTGAACTTCAGCACCTGTCAAAGCCATCTAAGTGCTAGCATCAAGCACTGCGTGTCTACCTACAAACATACTCATTTCTTAAAACCGATGTAATTATTTCTGTGCCGGTTTGTGTGTGGACACTAATTTCAGAATAAAAGGGGCTAAAGTCAATTTAGCTAAAATTGGTAACAAAACGTTAGCAAAAGGGACTTTAGGCGCTTTTATTCTGAAATTAGTGTCCACGCACAAACTGGCACCAAAATAATTACATCGGTTTTAATTCACACATTTTTCATTGTTTCATGCAAGGTTGTGCATAGACCACACCGCTGAGGCAACCCTTTAATTGTCTATTTTTTTTTAAAGTGTCCATGGAGGAAAGAACTAGTGTGTCCTTCTTGTGTTTCCCTTTGAGGAGTGAAAAAACCTGGAAGATTTTTTTTGAAAGGTTGTGGTTTTTATGTTAGAATTGTCCATCTCATCTATATTTGCCAGGGGACTTGCTGGCTGGCAGGAGAACTATAAAAGGCTGGAACCTGAGCAATTAAGAGGGGAAGAGGTTTTTTAGTTAGTGTTTAAAAAAAGCCTCTCTTCTTTGTTTGTCTCCATAGTTGCCCTGGTCCCCCATTCTGTGCCTGTGCCGTACATTTACAGTACAATTTTGCACTGCGGCAACGGCACAGAACACATTGTCTTAATGTAACCTTTCTGCTGGGTGGTGTCAGCAGCAACAACAAGGGCCAGGTTCAATATCTAGGGGTTCCTCTTAACATTGCAGAACAGAACCAGCTTGAGCCCCGACCCCAAAATCTGGGAAAATTAAACACCATCCGTGGGCACCTCTGAAAGACAATACTTCCCCACTTACAAGCACTGAGTCTGTGTATAACAACCCCCCCCCCACCCCCACACATTCATTTAGGAAAACATTGCAACAATAATTCAAAAGCACGTAAACTATAAGTAAACACCCACCCCACAGTACGTCGGGCAATGTCCTTTGCCTCAGTTTCCCACCTTGTGCAATGAAAGTCTGATGGACAAAAGTCCCTTTAACACGCCACTCCCCTTTCCCTCCACTGCACACAGTTGGGGTGTGTTTGTGTGGGTTTGTCTCCTACCTGTCAAGGGAGGGCCATTCAGCAATGCCTCTTGCTGCTGCTGCTGTCCCTGCTGCTCACTGCCGCTGTTATCTCTGCCGCTGCTTGCTGGCACCGCCACAGTGCCATGTTCTGAGGTTCCAGTGCTTAGCCCAGCTACTGGTGCTGCCTCTGCCTTGTCTTTCATTGCAGCTCTGGCCCCACACCAGGTCTCAGGCTCAGCCCCTAGACTTGCTCATCAGTGATGTCAGCTGTACTGACACTGAACAGAAACAAGGCCTCTCAATTGAGTTTGATCAACTCCGTTTTTAAACACTGGAGAGAAAATGTTTCAAGTGGTCTCTAGGATGCTTTAAACAGAGTGTGGAACACCTGTTCTCACCCGCCTCTAATTTTCACTTGGCGTTGGCACCCCTATCCCTGCTTAGCGAGGGATGTTCAAGTTAGGGTGCTCCCTTCAGTCAGGGCAGGCTGAGTACCTTCCTGTTGGTACTAAGTACCTAAGTACTTGCCTTTTGCTCCTACAATAAGGACTACCCCTGCATTTTAACCCAAAACAGCCCAAACGGATCACTTTGGCAAAGCAGCTCTGACTGCTGAACACCTAGGCAGTGTGGATGTGTCTGTGCAAATACCGTCTGCTCCTGAAGTCTTTTCTCCCAGTTCATCACTAGATGGTAGAGGAGAGCTCATCTGACCCTGGCTCACATTAATATAGACTAGGGTTACCATATTTCAGCAAGCAAAAAAGAGGATGGGAAGAGCCCCGCCCCAGTCCTGCCCTAGCCCCGCCCCAGTCCTGCCCTAGCCTCGCCCCTGCCCCTTCCACTCCCTCCCACTTCCCTGCCCCCCTCAGAACCCCCAACCCTCCCCCTGCTCCTTGTCCCCTGACTGCCCCCTCCTGGGACCCCTGCCCCTACCTGCCCCCCAAGATTCCACCCCCTACCTAAGCCTCCCTGCTCCTTGTTCCCTGACTGCCCCCTCCTGAGACCCTCCCCCCATCCTAACTGGCCCCCTAGGATCTTACCCCCTACCTGCCCCCTGACTGCCCCAACCCTTATCCACACCCCACCCCCAGACAGACCCCCGGGACTCCCACGC